CGATCCAGTCCAATGTGTGTCCATTACAAATTGATCAGGTCCAATCCAATGAATATTTTGGACTATTTTTTGACTGGTCCAATCTCTTTTTCTAATCTATGGATGGAGATTATTGGGCCTTGGAGTGCAGCAGCAGCACTTTTCTCTTTCAATGTCACTCCAGGGCGGTACAGAAGCATGACAATGAAACTAATGAAAACACAACAACCAACAAGGAGGTTGCTGCAAGTATGATCGGTGCAATATTTCAAGTCAAACATAAAAGCTAAATCCACCAAAAAAACAACATATGCGTCGACTGAAGTGTCAATATTCTTGGGCAGAAGACAGTCATGGATCTTCTCAACTCTCATCTACGTGGGGTTGAATCTGGTCATTTTTATGGTGATTGAAGTCTAACATAACATAACACTCAAAAATAGATAGAAAATGACAGAAATGATCGATGACAAAGAAATAACATGGTGTCAAGCTTTCACTATACCTAACAACCATTGAACTTCGCCATTCTCACTTTCTCAGGCTCAGCTCAACCGAAGCACCGTTCAGATCGATGGCCGCATTACCCTTCAATGCCCAAGTACCCCAACTCGCCAAGGGCGTTCCTGTTCAGGAGAAGATGGAAGGATTGGAGGCGAAGGCTTTGTTCTCGGTATTGGGAATGACTTGTTCCACTTGCGCTGGTTCTGGTTGTGTCGACGGCTTCCTAGTATTCAAGATGCTGCTCAACAAAGCCCAAGTTCTAAGGGCATTTTTTGTCATTTTATATGATACTTAACGTATGCTAACGGTTTTGGACCAATTTAACACTTTTTCAAAGTTTTGGGTACTGCAGTGTGACACGTTTGAAAGTTCGGGTATTAACTTGACATTACCCCCAAAGTTCAGGGTACTAAAGTGGATTTTTCTCTTTATTTATTTATAAATATATTTTTTATTATATTTTTATAAATTTGTTATATTATTTATTTTTTTATAAAAAACATGTATATATATATTATGAAAATAATTAAAAAAATACTTGTATTTTTCGTTTTTACTTAATTTAAATTAGTATATTTTATCTTTCTTTTAATAATTTATTAATTTTTAAAGAAAACAAGTCGGATCGGGTTAGATTCAAAGGTCCGACTTACCGATATGATTCGAATTCAAATCGAGTCCTATCAGATCCAATCGGATCGGACATGAACAATGCCAAATCGGATTCAAATATACCCTGATTCGAATCTGATCCGATCTAATCCGTTTGCATCCTTAATCCAACTTGATCTAATATAAATTCATTATAGATGGATCAAGTCTTAATCCAATCCAATAAATATTTTGGACCATTAAGTCTGGACTGGTCCAATTCAATATGCCTTTTTGGTCCGTCCAATCCATCTAAATCAATTTTGATTTAAACGGGGGCCAATCCAAAACGATCCATTGACACCCCTACACCCAAGAAGAACGCCAGAGTAACAGTCTGGGAATAAAAAAAAAAAGAATGGTATTTACCTTTATATTCATTCATTTTTGCCCGTATATCTTAGAATTCCAGCTTTAAGCTTGGGTGGAGACTTGTGGACAACCCGGACACCTATGGCCTGGATTGGTAAAAACTAAAATTGTCCAACTTAATCCCGATTTCCTTGCTGTATAGGTCCTGGGCTAGGGAGAGAATTCTAGAGGAAAAACCGAAAAACCATCTTTTCTAGAGGCATAAATATCTTGGTTAGGGATAGGGAATCAATTGATAATTGTGTTGACAACTTACTACTTGACAAGTAGTACTCAGCTTAGCTGATTAGAGTATTTAACCATTTATAAATCCACAGCGACTTTACCCTGAAGATTGCACCTTCGTTAAGGTGATTATCTTGTTATGCAATTAGAATTTCGGGATGAGCAGAAGTTGTATGGGCTTTTCAATCCGAATGAGGCTACTGCTCTGTTATAAGAATTCCTTTATTCTCTGGTGCGTGAGCTGCTATCTAATGGTCCTTGTTAAATTAAAATTTGAAAAGCCTCTTGCTTTCAAGAGCAGCAATTGAGGTAGAGGCAAGATTGAAATATTGGTAGCCTTAACGTGATGTTTAAGGCGATTTTGGGATATGCATTGTAATATACTTTGATGTATACTGTGGAATGTTTTGGACGTACATGGATATGCCAGGAAAACCCACAAAATTTCTGTCATATACATCAATAACATTATATTAAAATATCAAATTACCGTAAATAAGGTCCAAACACACACATACAAAAAAAAAAAAAAAATCATATACTTTAAGGCTGTGTTTGATTTGAAGGAAAACGTAGGGAAAGGAAGGGAAAAGTAAGGAAACCTTTATAAATCTTGTATAAGTTTCCTTGCCTTTCCCTACCTTTTCCTTCAAACCAAACATAGCCTAATAGTTTATGCCAAGTGTGAATCAATATTTTAAAACCTACCTGGAACAGTAACCGCTTTGGCTGCTGGTTTCCAGGTCAGCAATTCCACATTCCAGTTCAAATGGGCAGTCTGTTGCAATTTAAAAAAAAAAAAAAGAACAGCAAAAAACTGTTGTCCGGGTCTGACCAAGTCAATAATGTTTGGCAAGAGAATGGTTCAGGGGTAAAATGGAACCCGTTGTCTGGACAGATTCTGGCCAAACGGTCTGATCATCTAAGTCAATGATGGTTCAAAAACCATGGTGTGAATTATTGTGATATACTCAAGGAACTAAACATACACATATTCTTTAAAACCAAAATAAATCTCACTACCATTTACTTCAATGATTCATTAATCATATATTATTTTATAAATATAATTCATATTTAAAAATGCTAATTTAAGTGATTAACTAGTCTTTTTTTCTTTGGGAAAATTCCTGATTAGTGCCCTGTACTTTGGGCCTAGTGCCACTTTGGTCCCCAAATTTTAAAATGCGACAATTCAGTACCCAAACTTTCAAAACATGACAATCTAAGTACTTGTTGTTAACTAACTGTTAACCAGCCGTTGAGTGGTATTTGAAAAAGACACAAATGTTCTTCAAGTGTCATCTAATTTTCTTTATCAATCATCCAAATATTGACAAAAGAATTAACAGTCTCAAATCCTTGCATCTTCTATTCAAGAAAGTTGGGGTCACCAGAATGCCCACTCAAACGTGACCCCAACTTTCTTGAATGGAAATGACAAAGATTTGGGAATGTTAATTTTTTGTCAACGTTAAAATGGTTGATAAAGAAAATTAAATAACACTTGAAGGGCATTTGTGTCTTTTTCAAATGCCACTTAACGGCCAGTTAACGGCAAGTACTGAATTGTCACGTTTTAAAAGTTTGGGTACTAAATTGTTGCATTTTAAAGTTCAGAGACCAAAATGGCACTACGTACTAATCGGGAATTTTCCCTTTTCTTTTCTCACTTCTGGTTGTAGATCTAACAAGAGAAAATCATAATAAAAAAAACTAAAATAATTGTTAATTTAATGTTTTTTTTTATAATATAGTGCAATCGTAAGGACTCTTACTTATTGGGTAAGCGACACAAAGTTTGAATACTTGTAACTACATAGAAGACAGAACTCTAACAAGAAAAAGTGAATAACTGATCCCTCAAGTGGGAATAACTGATCCCTCAAGTGGGTATTCTTCCCTATAACTGGCAACTCTCTCATTTTATCATTAAGGCTAGGCTTGCATTGGATTCATATATTAATAGATTAAAAGTAAATCAAAATATTATGTCATTAATGTTGTGTTTGGTTGCAGTACAATTTTATTTTCATTAGTACAAATGTATGGGAATGCAAATGAAAAGAATACAAATTCTAGTTTAATTTTGTTTTGGGTTTTACTTTATTCTGCTTAAGGTCTTAATTCACTTCATTTGTCCTGCAATCAAACAAAATAAGCTAAAATTTATAACAAAAATAAATCAGAATTTACACTCAAATAATTTGTATTACCATAATTTTGCATCAGTGCAAATTTATTTGCATCACAACCAAACACAGCCTAAGGGATATTTGTATAATTTTGTCTTCCAAAACAAAATTACTATCACATCAGCAAAAATATATTGATTTCTCTGATGTGGCAGTTCCTTTTTTTTCCCTTCTTATTTTGAAAAGCAGAACCAACCATGTTGCCCAACACCCCTTAATAAAATGAACTAGAAGTGACTGATATTGTATCTCATGAATATTCATGATTTATAAAATACAACTTCTATGAGACTTTGAACCTGTGGCTCTTTTATAAACATACAACTTCAAACTATATATTGGTTTTATGTGGATATAAGAATACGTGTTTAAATAGTAACAGATCAGATTAGGTGGATCAATACTCTATACAATTAATTATAAATGGATCAAATTAGGATGGTCCTAATTTGAGGCCAGGGCCAGGGGGATTGAGGCCCATGGGCTGGCACTTGGCAGACCCACATTAATAATATATGTAATTAAATAAATATATTTTTTCTTCATAAAGAAAAAAGAAAAATCATGCTAGCCCACGGGCCGGCTAGTCCAGCACAGGCCCATGGGCTGTGGGCCCGGGCTTGTACCAGGCCCCCTTCCTGCACTTTTCGTGCCACGCTGTCACAGCCCACAGTCGTCATGCTGTGCCAGCCTGGCACGACCCTTTACAGTGCGGGTGGCATGAAAAAAGTGGGCTGCCATTACACCTACCTATTACCGGGAAGCTGACTCCACAAATCATTCATAGTGACCCTATCTAGTGTTTGTCTATTTGTCCATATATCATCTTTTTCCTTTCCTACGAGTGTATGATGTTTTTAACATTTCAATGCACCATATATTGATCTGGTCAGACATAATCCTGTTGCTTATTGAAAACCAAAATAAGAGGCCCCAACTCTAGTTGATTATTCCCTTTTCTCAGTTCATCAGAACATGAGTATTAGCACCGCTACATGATTGCTAAACTTGCAATAACTCCAGTCCTGATGCTAGAAAGTAGTAAAAATTAAAAAGAAATAACACTACAACCAATGGTCCAATTAGTCATTGTTCCAGAGTTTAGGCGTGAAACCCCCAAAAGGTCTTTGATTCATACATGGAAAGTCACAACTAGTAGGTAGATAAAGCACAAATGTATCTCATTATTTCTGTAGACATATCCAATACATCCTGAGTGTTAAATTACAAAATGGTCCTATACATCCTCTGTAACAGGGAGAGTGAAAACCTATTTGCACCATTCTTCAAGATTTTCAACTCACTTCTTTGCCATCAGATCTCTAACGAGCTTCAGAATCTGACTCCGCATCTCAGCCACTGCTGATGGCACAACCTGTTCTTTCAAAGCAGAAAACCACAAGTTCGCCTTGTCTTCAGATCTATCACTCTCATACCAGCTGCATATAACTTTTGCAATTGCTATGACATATAAGCCACAGTCATAACCATTCATTTGTTGCGGTGTAGCAGTGTATTCAACATATCTAACATCAGGCACTGAACCAGAAATACCCATGAACCCAGTTATAGCCCTATAAAGTCTCTTGGCATGTGAGCTGTTGGATCCTGCAACACTATCATGGTGTACAAAAATATTTGCACCCCTCTCATACACAAGCGAGCTCCAGTGAGTCCCACCCTCAGCCCAAGTCACATCTTCATTATTGTTGACAACAAATATTACCAGCTTCTTATCCGGCAGCTGAAGAGGTTCAACAAAATCTTTGAGGCTGTTAAGATCTGGGCAATTTATTGCCCAAAAGGAGATTGATGGCGGAACAAGTAGGATTTCGTGAGACACATAGCAGGAAGCAAGATAGCTGAAATAGAACTCAATGATGCGGTCATTAAGAAAGTGTGGACCACTGAGGATATCTAGATCTGATTTCCTCAGTACAACATCATTGTAGCTCAAGATCTTCTCATCAGCCTTAAATGAAGTCATGTGGTATTCCGCATCTATTCTGAAAAACCTGATCAAATATCATACATTTAACACATAAGAGTTGAATCATACAGACACATTTGCAGATCAAAAGAACATGCCAAATCAGATGAAAATTTAGTTGAACCAGCCACAACATGGCGAATTGGACTATTGGAATATGGAGCAATTGTTGTATTCATATTACAGCATTTTATGAAAAGTCATATTACACACGTGTGTGTGCGTGACTGTGTTCACCTGGATTATTTGGAGGTTAAAGATACAAATACACAAAAGGTTAACATCTAATATGTTTTACACAAATCCTTGCTGCATCTAGTCTTACAGTTGAGATCATCCCAGTTTGGTCAGGACTTGGGCTCCCATCGGAATACCAACTATTTTCAGCTTTCTTTTACCAAATAAAAACTATTTTCAGCTTGTGCTTTGCACATTGAACTACTAAACATGGCATCATTCCAAAACTTGTTCAAAAGATTTTTCTGAGTATTAATTGCAAAGTTGGCTTCTCTATAGACATGTGAGAACGAAACCATTAATTCAAATCTCCTACAGATGTTATAGCACTCCTCAATGATAGGCTTGACATTCCAAGGTGGTTCCCCAAGTCCCTTAAGTGATCTATTATAAGCTTTGAATCTCCTTCTAAAATTATCCGGCAATTCAGGAACTTTGGCCTGATAGTAAAGACTTTCTCAAATCACACATATTTTCAATCATTGAGTTTTCTTTCTCTTTTCGCTTTTCTTTTCTTTTGGGTGAAGAGGGATCAAGGCCACTATACCATAATACCATGTTTATGAACTATTGTCATTTGAGTGTAATGCCATGCATGGAGCAACAGTTAAATATTGTTTACTAGAGTATCTATAAATGTCATTTTTTGTGTTATTGTCAAAGGTCCTCAAAACTATGCAAGCCCGCCAGGCAGCCCCTTCCTAATAGCATACAAGAACCACATGAGCATTTGGAGTAGCTAAGTTAGACATGGTATGGGCTCTGAATCCCCTCCTATTTACGATTAAACATTTCCAATAAACCATGAATGAAATTAAGCAACTTATTGACAAATTCCATAAACCGTCAGGAAGAGGGACTGAGGGGACTAAGAGTTAATAGAATAGTTACCTAGTTCTGTTTGTGGTGCTAATCCACAGCAATGTTTTGAAAATTGGGCTGCACCTGCCAGTTGAACCAGAAATGGATCCCATTCCTATTCAATGATCCACTTTCCAGTTCTATTTTCAATCCAGTTTTCAAAACATTGACCCAAAATTCTTTTTTTTTTTATCAATAACAAGAAACTTTATTAATGATATGAAACTATGTGAAGCTTAAGGTACAAAGGGGGAGGTAAAAAGTCTTAACTCCCCACCAATAGAATACAATGGAAAAAAGTCAAAAGTTAGCCCAAAAAATTGAATCCCTATTCACCCCTTGCTTTGCTAACCCATCAGCAAATGAATTCTAGTATCACCAAAAGTTAGCCAATAGAATACATTGACCCAAAATTCTAGTATCGCCAATTCTGTAAAAGATATACTTCTTTTGTTATTGTCTATACTTTTTTGTGAAGAAATGATTGACCATAGAATTATTGTTTGCTAGCTACAGTAGATCTCCATGCAAACCTAGTTCTTAGCTGACAAGTGACAAATCACTTCCCACCTGACCTTCTTGCAATTTTGTTGTTACTACCAAGTATCAACCACTAGAGGAATCCTGAACTTGACCATACAACCGCACAAGATGCCAACAAACAGTAAGAGTTTTATCTATTGGACAAAAAAAAATTAAGGATAGAGGAAAACGAAAATAAACAAAATTATCATATCTGTTGGACAAAAAAAAGAAACACTGGCTCTTTGGCGCAGGTTTCCTTTTCTTTTTCCCTTTTGGATGTAAGAGAGGTGTAGATGGGATTTAAAACAAAAGTATCATGTACCAAGCATTTGGGTTTTACCAGTAGGATGGACAGGCATCCACCTTTTCAGGAACAAGCTCATCCAATAGTTTCTATTAAAAAACTAATAAAAAAGAATGGAACAGGTATGGGAAGCATAAAGCGTGAGCTTATTCAGTACTAACAGCGAACACGCCAAGAAGAATACCATAGCAAACTCAATGCAGCTGTGCCCATAACAAGTTTCCAAGGAAAGATACCCAAGACACTCTAAAACTGCCAAGGTACTCAGATATGATTAAGTCAAGCAATTTAAATTCGATTTAGAAAATAAACATCCAGAAACATTGATATTACTTGTTTAGAACTTGCCAGTCTTCGCAAAATGCAATGTAAGAATTTAAGTTTTCCATAGCTTTTTATCTCATAAGTTATCATCTAAAAATGGATACATTACCTGAATGTTAAGAAAATTAAAATTGAGGTAATTCCTTGGAGCCCTGGAATGACTTCAGTCCTAAACCTATTAAAGTCAACATAACGGGGCCATTCTAGACATAGAAATTATAGGAATAACTTGAATTGAAACAATTTTATTTTAGGTTTTGTTAGTAAATGGAACACCAGCAGATCATATCTATGTATCTTTAATCTGTAAACGAGGAAGAGTATTTATCGATTCGGATTCTCTTAACCAGTTAACCGGCTGTTGGTTTACTACGCATGTGAGCTTCCACTTTTTTCCTCCGATCCTCGGGATTACAAAGATATCCCAGAAAATTAAAACCAACATTTCTAACATCTAACTAAACAGTTAAAAAACGGGAGCAACAAGGAGCATGAACGATTACAAGGAATAAGTTAATGACAAATAAAATGTAATCTATGAATAAAAAATTACGTTTTCTTTATCTTAATCGACACTCGACAGCATCAAATTTCCTCTTTTATTTAATCCGTGAATCTCAGGCAGAAAAAATAAATAAAAATAATGATCTCTATCTTCACTTCACAACCCTAACCCTATAATCAAACACAGGCGAAATTGAAGAGAAAACTAAACGAGATTATATAGAGGAAAAGATAGAGTGGTCATTACTCACCGGAGCGAAGGCCGAATGACCGAAGGAGTTGGTAGCTTTCCTTCTTATTGCGGAAACCTGGGGAGAGGAGATTAGGAGAACACTTTAATCACTTCACCGGCCTGGGCAAAGTTGGGGCCCACCCTCCTAATACATCCGGACCAGACAGTCGGGTTACCACAGTATCCGAAACCGACAGCAAATTGATTTTTGGGTTAAACCCCATTTTTCAGAAGCATTAACTATGCACATGACGGATTTCTGGGACCGAAACCATCTTAGGTCTTTCATCCCAATGTTTTTAAAACCGAATCGGACAACGAACCAATCAGATCCGGTTCCTGGGTCAAATGGTTTGATTGTTCGAACTGAACAGATGCCTCATTCTAATAAAAAATAAATTAAAAAAATAAAAAACAGCCAGACTGTTGAATAGTTCGATCGCCCAAATCAGTAGTTTGTTGATCAAATCAATAGTTTTTGGAAAATTAACAGTTCTAAGATAAAACGGAACCGGTCACCTAACTGGTTCCTAATTTTTTCTGATCTGACCATTCAGTCTGATCCGGTTTTAAAAACCATGATTCATCCTCAATGCCAATTGTTGTTTAGGGTTGTCAGGGGTCGGGTCTGGTTTGGAACAGATTGTACCAGTTTGGTATTGATTATTATTAACATGATGTTTGACATGTAATGGAGGGTGATTTGGCTGGCCAATCAGTCATAAAACCATACGTGGCATGCTGAAATGTCTAATGACACCTCAGTGCCACGAGAAATACGTATCTAGCTTAAGGAGACCAGTTGAACATTTCGCAATTCCACCTTAGGAGAGAATTGAGGACCTTGAAGGCTGACCCAAGGTTTTTAAAAGCGAATCATACAATGAACTGACCAAGGGTCTGGTTCCCAGGTTGAATGGTCCAATCATTCGAATTGAATGGACGGTTCATTCTAACAAAAAAAATAAAAATAAATAAATAACGGCCAAACAGTTGAACGGTTCTAATGGTTCAACTGCACGAGGTCAGCGATTTGCTGACCAAATCAATAATTTTTGAGGAAATAACGGTTATGGGGTAAAATGGTTACCCGGTCACCTGACTGGTCCCTGTTTTCTGTCCGATCCGGTTTTGAAAACCATGGGCTGACATATAGTCCTTTCACCTAGGCAGCCAACAATCTAAGTAACCAATTGATTTCCGAGGTACTAACCTACCAACCTGACGACCTATATGGCGCATTGACCTTATTCAGAGTAACTTACTTATCGATTCCGAATCAGGCGATAGCATGTCACCCACCTTGCATGGATGATCCCAATCTTCATATGACTCGAAGAGATGAGGATCACCGTCGACGTGGTAAGGATGCCCCCCGAAGATAATGAGCAAATAAGGTCTGACATCCCCAGATATATTGGACATGGAACTTGGACCCCGATGCTTACCCTGGGTCTCATGCTCACTATAAACTCGACTGACTTAAGTATTGGAATGCTTACCCTGGGTCTAAATCTTCAGCATTTAAACTCTTTCTCTCTCTCACACACACACATATCAGTTCATCAGCATCAACACTTATCGTTCGAGCTGTCCTCCAACAAGGATGTAAAGGAAGCAAGCGATTTTGTGCATCATCAATATCGATGTCGATTTTTTTGAAAATCACTGCCACGTTGGAGTCATGTCAGCGCAAGAGGAATTGGCGTTGAAGTTTATGTTTGATCGGTAAATTTTGAAAAATCAACCAAAAAATCGATTTCTTGGAATCGATCATTTTTAGGGATCACCATTTTCCAATGATCCACTGGTTAATTGATTCTGATTTTTTCATGATGACATAGCATTTCAATGCAAAAATATCCGGTCATTGAGATCAATACCAAATAACAAAATTCATTTATTTTTGAAAAAATCACTTGGTTTTAACAAACTTTAAGGAAGAATAACATCGATGCCAAACATCACCTAAATCGGAATAAAATCATAGATTCAGAACGTCACAATTAATAATCAAAACATCCATATGTGGTCCGATTATAATTATTTATAACCAATAGTTATAATTATTTAAATAAATAACATTTTTTTTTGCAATATAAGCTTAATGAAATGATGGTAAAATGATAAATTAGTTATACTAACAAATCAATTGTTTTTAATTCGTTTTATTTTGTATAGTATCAAATTTACACTTTATGAATAAAATGTTACACTTTTACACAAATGGGGCATTCTTTTTTAAGGTTTTGATAGGGGAGAAAGTTGATCAATGGGATTTTTGTTCCTATTGACCAAGAATCTCATGTTCTTTTTTTAGATTTATGTGGGGACTAAGGAAAGTTTATTTTTCTGGGTATCTCCTAAGTGGGTAAATAACTTTTCCACCTAGGGGGAAAGTTTCCAACACTCAAATAGGACAAAAATGCTCTTTTTAATAATGGATTTTTTATGGTTAAAATAATCATTTCCTTATTTACATGATAAATAAAAGAACACGGGTAAATGTACTTACCTGTGTAAGTGTTTATAGGAAAAATTTACCCAGATAACTGAATTTATCTAGGTAAGTAACTTACTGAAAAGTGAACGGGACCAAAATATAATAAAAATTACAAAAGAACTAGGGGACCTTTTATATATTATTAAAATAAAAATAAGTTTGGGTCTGAATTGGTTCACAACAAGTAAGAAAAATGGTGCAAGTTAGGCAAGCTCGGCTGGGTTTAAACTCAACCTAGGCCTAAGCCTATGGTAAAGCCCAAAATGTCCAACCCGGGCCTGCTTAAACTGAAATTAGGTTGGGCTCAACCCTCATCAGAATTCCTAATATGTTTTACACAATTCGGGTTAGTGTCAAGAGTTCGGATTCCTACCTGATTCTACCCACATGACATTGCAACCACACATGGGAAACATCTCATTGCTCTTACATGTTATTATGCATGGGGTGTTCCCAATGCATGGATGTAGTGTTTTTGTGGGTAGGAGATTTAGAGGGGGGGGATTCCCAATTCAGAAGGGGGGGGGTGTTTATAGGGGGCTGGGGATAAATATATTTAGACTGTGTTTGGTTTGAAGGAAAATATAGGGAAAGGAAAGAAAATAGAGGGGAGCCTGTATAAAATTTGTATAGGTTTCTCTACCTTTTTCATCATTTCCCTACATTTTCTTTCAAACCAAATACAGCCAAGGAATCAATAAAACAATTTTGAGGGGAAATTGACTATAAAAGGTCTAAAATTTAATATAAAGTTATATGTATATGTATATACCTACCTATATACATAAGTGGGGAGGGCCTGGGTAGTTAGAACAAAGGCAGGGTTGAGCTCGAACTAGGTTTAAGTTATCTAAGGACTAGACTAGATCGGCCCGAAAAATAAAAAAGTCGAAACTATTGGGCCAAGCCCACTCGAGACTCTAAAATTCAAGTTCAGCTTATATTAATTTATATTTTATATACTGGGTTGGGGCCGCCCAAATTGCACCCCTACTAATACTACTCCTAACATCTAAAACCTACCATAAATAATCCGGACAAAATCACACCAGAACCGATCCATCGACGGCATGCCTTGCTTTTGGTGCTACTGTTCAAGTCGGTAGCACGTGCAGCTCCAAGTTGGTAGCACGTCTAGTCCCTTTGCCAACCAAAAGCCAAATGGCTATGGACCTCTCAAACTCCCATTTGTTCTTTATTTGTACAACATCTCTTCAAGTCTTCGGTTTTTTTTGGTAATAAGTCTTCGGGTTAAAGACTTCCGACTATTTTCTGATAAAACTCTTCGGGTCAAAAGGCTTAGAGTTAATTGTAGTGGAATTTCAGATATATTCCAACTTTTTTTTTTGTTTTTCTGTAGTGGAGGTGGGGCTTCTGGCTCAGGCTTGCTTGGAGCCCGGATCTGCTGCTCTCCTCGCTGTGCAATACGCTACGAAATCAATCAGAAGTGAACACGATACGTGGAACACTGCCCTGTTCATTCGTGATTGCAACGTTGCGCGCGGGAAACAGCAGATTCCGAGTCGCTTGTTGACGGTGGTAGAGAGAATCACCTCAGACGGTAATTATGGCCAAGTAGAGTTATTGACCATATTCTTTCCATGGACTTTTCTATTATTCATTTATTCCTCGCATTTTGTCTTCAAAAAGGACGAGAATTTGCGGTCCTAATGGCAGTTGCAAAGCATAAACTGAAAACGGGGCGTGGGAAATAAAACAGAGGGAGAGAGAGGTCTGTGTGTTCAGATCTGCGGATCTGCACTCCCAGGTAGAGCTTTCGTTGTTCATGGACAATGGATTTTGTCGACAACCTGCCGCCCATGGATTTTCTGCGCTCCGAGAAGATGATATTCGTTCAACTCATAATACCCGTGGAATCAGCTCACCGAGCTGTCTCTTACATCGGCGAACTCGGTCTTCTTCAATTCAAAGATGTAAGGATATAACCAGATCAGACAGGTTTCGTCTATTTGATTGGTGTCTGTCTGTCGTGAAACTTCTTTTGCTTGTCTATGAATTCGTTCCATTAACACAGGAGTTTCCATGATGCATTCCTTTTTTTTTTTTTTGTAATCTTGAACTATGCATGCATAGCGGTTCTGTCTAGTACTCAGTATCTATGGATGGCATTCGTTTGCAATTTTGCTAATTTTGTCTTCACGACTATGAAAATTCGCCATGCTTTTTTCCCCTTTTTAAGAAAACTCGTACGTTTGACTAGTTTTGCTTATTTGAATTGTAATTGTAACTTCCATTAGAATTTCACATTTCTAATATCTGTTTCTGGATCACGTCTGCGGATATACACTGTTTAGAAATTGGCTAATTCTAAATGGCACGTATTGCGTGCTTATGGCAATTTGCTCAGAGATCTGAGAACAAGGTTTTTTTTTTTTTTTTTTTTGCTAGGACTGGAATGAGTATGAACATGCTGGAGGAAATTACAGCGTAGTAGTCAGTAAATTCAGGGAGAAGCATTTCATGAAAACTTAAATAAAGATAATTCAGGAATGATGTACACAAAATCAGATGACGAAGTTTGGAAAAACTAACGTGCATTACATCCCAAACAAATGGGTCATTTTTCATATCAATGGTCATGGCGTCATGCTGTTTTTGAATGATATATATCTAGCAAGATCCTGACTTGTAGAAATAATTGGTATAATATGGTGCTTCTCAAGCTAATGATTGTTGTGGTGAAGCCAAGTGTTGGACTCTGTAATTAATGCAAGAATCAACTACCTAATAAATCAATCCTTTGTTAACCAATCGAGATGCAAACGGTTGCAGAAGCATGCTTTCAAGATTCAGTAGTAACAATTACGAGGTTTGATGCATTTGCTCATTGAAACATATAAAATACTTGTACACTTACTAGTTAAGGGGCAAAGTTAGTAAGGAACAAGCTTTGCAGGGATGATGACAATGATATTGACCTGAAAATATAAGGGGATTTCTCATGTGTCCCTTTTCTACAAGGGCTTGCACTGGGTTTAGTGGAACTAGTTTCTATTTTAGTAAGGTTATTTAGATGAATGCAACTAATCTAGAACTTAGTTTGTCTTAAATGCTTTTAGTTATTTTTTCTTTTGGTTTGGTTTCTAGAAGAAAGAGGTTTGGTTTGAAATCCTTATTTAAGATGGTTTAAGAATTAAGATGCATAAAATTATAGGAACCTGAATTATTCTTTAGCTGTTTTTTTCTAGATGACATGATGCCAGCCATCCACTTTTGAGTTTGAAGTCCAAGAACCATATATTTGAAGCCTTGAACGTTAGGAAGCCACTCTCTCTAACCTGGAACCCATGCATCTTTTTTTTTTTTTTCCATTTTTTAATGGATACCTGAACCCCTCATCTTGTGATTATTATGATTGTGATGTTTGTTTTATGTCAAAACATGAGCTTGATTACATTACATTACCATCTTTCCAGAGGCCTTCCATTCAGTTTTTTGAAATATGGATTTGCTTAGGCTGCTGACATTGATCCTGATTTGTCTTTCTGTGCAAATAGAACAGATTGGCGAAACAGGATATATGTAGCTGACCCCATATAGTTGGGATAAAGCATGGATGATGATGATTTACTTAGGCTGCTCCTTCACTATAAATAGTGCATAAGAAAGTAAAGTATAAGAACCCTGGAATTACTCAGATGTTCAGAGAAGAAAACTAATAGGAGTAGAGAAAACAGTAAGGGTTCATGACTTTTCTTGGCTCTTCCAATGAGAGAAAATTCCTTGACAAGTTCTCTTAATGTAGGCATGGAATCAAGGAAAGAAACTGTGGAAAAAGAAATTGAGTTTCTTCACATGCTTGCATATTGCATAATTGGTAATGATTTTTGGGTGAATGAATTGTGATATTTTTGAGTTTTTGCAAAGTTACTTTGTAGGTTATTAGTCTTAGGAATAGGATTAATCACGTTAAATGGTCAAATTAATTTATTTTTTGATAATAAAAGAGAATTCAATAAAATAAAAGGAGAAAGAAGTACATGTGATTGATGATAAAGTATTACCAAAGAATAAATAGAAATAACTTTAACTGTTCCCCAAAAATTTAAAGAGTTATGTTATAGAGTCATTAGAATTTTGAAATGTTGAAGATGCAACCATGTTGGTATCATTGTTATTAGAATTTTGAGAGTCATTAGCTTATTTTTTAGGATTCAAAACTTTTTTGTTTGTGTTATTTTGGTGTTCTTAGATAGGTTATTGGGTTATCTGTCCGAAGAGGCCAAGATCTTGTAAATCCAATATATTTTGAGAATTTTATGTTCATTTTAGCAATAGGATGTTACTTTGTAACAGAATTTGTGTCTTTCTATTTTCTTCTTGGTCTATCTTGGAATTGTTTTTGGTTTGTTTAGTTGTATTAGGATTTATATTGTGTATTTAGAGTTGTCTTAGGAGTTATTCCATATTTTAGTGTTCCTCTGGCTTATTAATGAGTTCGTCATAGTTTTGAAGCAGTTAGAAAGGTCAGCTGTTCAGTCTAATTTGTAGTCTATGAAGGAGTAAACAGACAACAATTCTATTGGGGGATAGTAGGGGGCAGAAAAAAGAAAGAAAAATTACACATACCCGTCTGTTACAATTTGTAAAAGTTGTAGAACTTCTTGTGATCTTGCCTTCTTTGAACTTTAAACAGTTCTCTCTAGTTCTCAATGTGTTCATCACTTCATCTAGGGCTTCAGACTTTGCTTTTCTATCTATAAAAACTTCATACACCACAACTATTCTACAAGATTAAGCTTCAAGTAGTAATAAAAAGGTTCATCAAAACTTAGTATACAATAATAATGGTATAAAATACATTATGGTATATAAAATCACTTAAAAAAAGAGGACACAAAGGCATATATGCATGGGTCATCTTGTGCCTCAGCCCAGGTGCACGAGGGGAAAACCTTTTGTAACTTCCCTTGCCTAGGTTAAGCGTGGCGCATATATCAAAAAGCACCTTTTAAGATATTGCTTTTTGTGTGATTGAGACAGGACTTGGAGCCTTTATCACCTGGCCAAGAACTGTTCTCAATTAGATAAATCATTTTCTAGCAACTAGTTGCAAATCATTAGTTTGGGTATGCTTTAAGTGTACAACAGTCTATGGTCACCTGCACACATTGTTGGAACCTATGCATGCAAGCTAGTTACTGATTTCAGTTTCAATTTAAAGAAAATATGAATAGCTATTTGGTGCGCAAGTAGTGAAGGAAGGTTAGGATCCATCATATGGATGGCCGAACCATGCTAGATGGCTAGGCGAAATTTCAAAAATTTTCTTTTAACCTTCCGAGAATCGTATTCCCTATTTTAGAAAAATTGCATTTTTCTAGGATCGATCTTGCATTGAAATCGGACCAGATTTGAAACCAAATAAGAAGGAGATGTATACCTGATACGAATTCCACAAATGTAGCTCCCAAGGTGGTAGTTCACGCCCAAATCAGTCCCTAAAACCAGCTTCCACTGAAGATGGCGCAGCTTGAAGTTGAAGCCGGTTCAACAATGCAGTTTTCAGCAAAACTGCAACCCAACTCCTTGGATCGAATTGGGGAGGTGAACACAATTTTTCTCTATATTTTTCCTGCAAAAATCAGAGAAGAACTGATCAAGATCAGTCCCAAATACTGAGATCGAACTAGGGTTTCTTGGGCGGCAAGAGGAGAAGAGAGAAAGCTGAATTGCAGAGAAACAATGAGTAGTTCGATCTCTTATTTTCTTTATCCTTTATGGAGCACCTCTCCTAATCGAATTAGGAGTTTTTATCCAAATCTTTATTTGGATCTGGAATCTATCATTAGAGGGGTCTTATCCTCTTAAGAGAATGGGTTCTCCATATCCATATCCAAACCTAGATTCGCCTATGTCACATGACAACTCAAGCAATCATGTGACGTCTTGATTAATCATATTAATCATGGGCTTTTAGGCCCATTAACTATATGGCTCACGAACCAAGAGTGTTGCTGGCCCATTTAGTTTTGATTTGTATGACGTGGGACCCCAACAATGACCTTACATAAGCCCACATGGGTTCGACCCAACCTTTGTGAAAAGGCCTGGCCGAATTCACTACCAAATGCAGTGAACCCCTGAGTTCATCACTATGGGCTCAAAATGGACCCAACATTTACAGTTAAATGATCATTGAATCCAACCATCCTATGAAGACCTAAGGATAATGGACTTAAGTAAGATATAGCCCATCAGGTAATCAGCCCTTAATGGTCTCTTACACTTAACCTCTTAGCCCACAATGATCAAACACTGTCCGACAGGGAAGGACTTCTCCCCTGACTGGAAGGTGCAGTGTCACACTCTCTGCTCGGATGGGTCCCGGAAATTAAAACCTTTTGCAAACACTTTTCTTAAAACATAATATATATATATCATATAAATATATTTTGCAAAACAAAATCTTAAAACACAATTGAAATCCACTACCGACCATTAGAGAGAGTGTAGTCCCGATCATTCACTTTGTTTGACAAAGGGGCCGATCCTATCACTATGATCACCCACTTAAGTGAATTCTCAGACTGCCCCAACATACCCAGGTTTTGACCCTAAAGGATTTCACTGATTGGTATATCAAAGACAGCCCAATCCGACACTTAGTGCAATACCATAATCAAGTATAGGGGTTATGTCTAACTTCCTAGTTTTGCCCATCAATCTCCAAGATCCAGGGCATAACTGGAAAATGGTTCGAGTTCAGTGTTTCAACCAAACACACACTACATGTGCTTTGGGTCCAACCCTGGCAGCTGAGACAAGCTGCCCCAACTTCTTTGGCCGCACATCAGTGTTAGCCTTGGCAGGATAAACTCCCCAAGTCTATCCAACGGTTGAGAACATTCTAAACTAACACGAGTCTCATAAGTGTCCAATTTAAGGGGTAATTTCACAGAAGCATACCAATGACAATATGAAACAATAATGTACTTTTATTCATTTACAATAAATGTATCTATACATCAATCTGATTGAAGCTAAGGGCATACACTGTCTAACAGGTAGTTCACTTGGAGATGGGTTGGCATTAGACCTGTTCACGGGCCAGCCTATTCTACATCGGGCTTGGACAAGGTTTTAACTTTTAAGCCCTTGGGCTCGAGCTCGGGCTCTAAACGCTGGGCCCGAGCTCGGCCCAATAATATTATATATATAATAAAAATATAGTATATATTATATAGTAATAAAATTAGTAGTGAAAAAAGTATTATATATATTATAATATATAGAATATTATATAATATAATATATAATTAATAATAAAATATCTATCCAAATTGGGCTTTGGGCTTGGGCCCGGACTTCGGGCTTTATATAGGATTGGTCTTGGGCTTGGTCATTTTTTGTTTATAAAGGGGCAAAGCCCAGCCAGGCCGGCCCGCAAACAGGTCTAGTTGGCATTGATTGTGTAAAGAAAAGACCATATTTTAATAGTTGATAAGTAATTCATGACCTTGTAATAACATAAAGTAAAAGAAGGCACCTGGTTTTAAAACATAGAATGGTGCTAAGATATTTATCTTCTTATGTTAGTCAGGATTTGAAACATAAAAAAGAAATATTTGAGAACCTTACACAGGTAACTACTCTGTTTTATTTATTTATTTATATTACTATTACTCTGTTCCTCCACTCATTTCTTTATGTTCTTCATATCTGATTTCACCATTCTTGCAAATTTACTTATTGCTACAAGTAGCTATCATATTGAGTATAGGAGCATACCATTTATCAACTGATTGAAGTTTTCTGGGATATTCAGAGGTGTCTATATTAGGCTAGCAGTTGTAGGAATTTGGGGACATGTAAATTTTAATCATTGAGATGCATTTTATGCATTATTCTATATGTGGTGAAAACATATTGTGGAATTACATGCTTATCCTCAACATTTTCTTTATTGCAGTTAAATGCTGACAAAAGCCCTTTCCAACGAACATTTGTTAATCAGGTATGCACTGCTCAAGAATTTTCCCCAAAACATTGCATTTTTTTTTTCAATCTCCCTTATTAGTAGACCAAATTGGTGTAGTTCCCATTTCCACCTCATATCTGCTTCCTATATAAGGCAAGTGGGGACCGGGAAGACTACCTTGCATTTACTAATCTCCTGCATGCTTGTTTCTTGTATTTGGAATGGTTCTTTTGTTGTAAGGCTTATTTAATTGTTATTTTATAGTTGCTGTTAGTAGGCTGACTTCTTAAGATACTGTCAGTTACGTACTTGTTTTTTTTCCTTATTAGTTTGGTTCTAGGGTGTGCCTCCAGGGGAATACTTGTAGTTTCTATTCTTTTTATTAAGTTAATATAAATAGAGAACTGGCGGCAGCCAGTAGTATATTTTTTTCCTTCTCAATCGTATCTCCCTCTTCTTCTCTTTCTTTCTCTCTCTCTCTCGTCTCCCACTCTCCATGAATGATTACATGGTATCAGAGCAGATTTTCTGGGCTGTAAAAGACCTACGATCCCTCCTGTTTTGAGCAAGGTTTCCTTCTTTAAATTCTTGGACGTGGAAGACAGAGAAACCCTAGTAGGTTTTTTGGTAGAAACCCTAGCAAATTTCTGGCGGCACTTCCTGTGGTTTTTTTCCTTGGTCGTAATACCAAGGAAACCCTAGTTGGAGAAGGGCGATGCTGATAGAGACTCTCTTCCTTCTCTATTCGATGCTGTGAAGTTGATTTCAGGTTGGCACCTTCGTACAGCTGCTGGACAGGTGTGTTCTTGTTTGTGTCTTCTTTGGCCAATGGTATGAAGGGTTTATTCCTTGGTTATATATACTTGTTTGGATGTTGGATTGTTAGACTGTATGAGCTGCAGTCGGACTGATAGAAATGTTTGCCTTGGTTGTGTTGAACTGATTACCGGGCTGGTTTAATGACTGAACCATCTCAGAGTTGATTTCAACAGTGTCTTGTTCTCTTCCTCACATCCTAGAAGTAAATTCCTCGAGGGTTGGTTTTCTGTTTGTGGTTGTTGTCTAGTTGTGTGGTGTTTGGACTGGTTTTCAGCAGTATCCTATGGCGAGCTATGAATCAACTTCATCGGGGGTCACACCAACCCGCAACACAGCTGGTATGGGAGGTGAAAACATGATTTTTCCCATGCCAATTACCCCTTTAAATGGTCTGAACTATCTGGAGTGGGCTAAAAGCGTAAAACTCTATGTAACGGCAAGGGGTAAAGTTGGTTACATTAATGGAAGGGTGAAAGAACCCAAGGGTGAGATGGTTGAACATGATAGGTGGGACCAAGAAAACAATATGGTGATGTCTTGGCTCCTCGCAGCCATGGAACCTGATGTGAAGAAGAACTTTATGTGGGCAGACACCGCTAGTGAGATCTGGGAACATGCCAAAACTACCTATTCTGAGCTAAGGCATTATGCGAAGGTTTACCAGTTACAAGCTGTAAACAGGGAAACCGTAGTTTGTCTTCATATTATCCAGCCCTTACCTCCATATGGAAAGAATTGGATCATTATCAGGCTATAGAGTGGAAACATGATGATGATGCTAAGGCCTAHARGAAGYTGGTCTCTYAGCAAYRTGTGTTKGCCYTCTTGTTGGGACTGAACCCTGCATATGAACCGTTGAGGGTTCAGATCCTAGGAAGCAAAGAGTTGCCGACGGTTCACGAGGTATACTCCCTTGTTCAATCGGAAGAAAGTAGGCGGAGTGTGATGGTTACAGCTGAGGGGGAACAACAAGTTGCTTTGGCTGCAATGAATAATAACTCCACGGGGAAGAAAAGTGACACTAAGAAGACTGATGATAAAGATAAGTTGTTCTGCACCCACTGTTGGCGTTCACGGCATACACGTGACACTTGTTGGGACATCCACGGGAAACCCAAGTGGGTAGTGGAGAATCAAGAACAGGGTAAAAGTTAAGGTCAGAAGAAGGTGAACACAACACAGAATGTAGCACATGTGGCAACCCAAGAAACTTAGGTTGCCGGTAGTACCCGGGACCACCCTAATAAGTTTGACCCCAAGGAAGAGATAATGAATTCCTTCAGAGAGCACCTGGAATCTTATGGTAGGGCTTTGCGACAACAAAATGGTGTTGCCGAAAGGAAAAATAGACACCTCATTGAGGTAGCTCGCGGGATGATGCTACATATGAATGTTCCAAAAAAGGTTTTGGGTGGATGCTATACTTGCAGCTGCTTATGTCATCAATCGCATGCCCTCCAAAGTGCTGAACTACATGGCCCCTCATCAGTTATTGTACCCTCAGTTTCCTTTATTTTCCATTCCCATGAGAGTCTTTGGTTGTCGTGCCTTTGTCCATGACTTGTCTCCATTTCGAGGTAAGTTAGACCCTCGGTCAATTCCTTGTGTTTTTCTGGGGTATCCCTCATCTCAAAAAGGGTATCGGTGCTTTGATCCCGTTAGTCGTAAGTTTTTTGTGTCTATGGATGTGTCATTCTTTGAGTCTGAGCCATTCTTCCTTGCTTCTCCTCAGGGGGAGAGTAGTAGTGTGGAAGAGGAGAAGCAGGTTCA